TCGGGACGCTTATCGAATACATTTTTTTAATGTTCTAAGTTTTAAGGGAAGATGTACGTATGTGATGTGTGAAATATGTCTAATAGATGCGTAGAATATTGGAAGCGTATAAATATACTGACATCAAAAAATAGAGATATACTCCCCTCTACCCTTTACAACCCTCAATCCCTAATTTTGTTTCTAAAAATGACTAGGAGCATCTGAATAGTCAAAAAACAACGTTCGAATGATTTTTTTTTCTCTGCCGCCATAGGACCAACTTTCTCGTCCTTAGCTTAGCAGTAATCTTGTGCAAAAATTCCATCTAAATCGGCGCAGTAATAATAATAGTAATTCCATTTAATGTGCAACGGACACAGAATCCCTTAAAATAAAAACAACTATCCACAAGTATTTTGTGACATATCCTTAGCAGCATACTTTAGCTCCTCGAGTTCACAACTGAATATGTCGACGTGCTGCGAAATCTTATTGTAATGCGAACACATTACTGATAAGGGTGATTCCAACATTAGATTTGTCCTAGCAGCAGTAGACTAAAATATTAATGATTGTCTAGGGTTAAACTGAGCTACTTTAAATTTAATACGCTATAAAAGATCTGGGTAATCAGTAACATCATACATCAATTACAGAGGAATGAAAGGGATGAAAGTGTCCGTCTGAGCTCCAAACCGTCAAACGTCAAACAGGTTTAACCTAAGCATACTTAGTTTCCTATTTAGGATAAATATGGTGCTTTTAAAAAACTTCCTTTGTAATTTATCCAGTCTATCCTTGTGACCTTGACAGTATAGGTTCTAGACATTTGAACGGTAATCCGGCTTAGAACATACTTAAAAAAAAATACGAGCCCCTTCCCACTTAAGTTGGCCCACTTCAAGATTTGTACCAAAATATGCCTTTATAAACTAAACATGACGAAACTGTTCACTTCTAAAACAATTTATTTTCTCAAAAACATTTTAGATACACTCTAGTGGTAAAAAATACATATTTGAAATCACGTAGACCTATAACTAATAGAACATCTGAACAAATAAACAATGTGCGAATAAATGCGCGAAGTTAACAAAGCAACAATTGAAAGATTACCATTGGGTAACATCACCTTTATTTTTTAGTACGGCTGAAATTCTTTGGGGCATAGTGTTAACCAAGTTTTGTCAAAAATTTGGTGCAAAACAATCTCATATTTCTTGAAACTTTTGTCTCAGTTCGGTGATTGTAAGAGCAGGATGTTGTCGTAGAACCTTTTTCATCTCGTGCCACAAAGTTTCAATAGGTGACAGATCTGGACTGCTAGAAACCCATTTCAAAAGTGGTACATTATTTTCTTCCATCCATTTTATAGCCGTTTTTGAGATATGGCTCGCTGCACCATCTTGCTGAAACACAAAATCTTGGCCGGATGTCAAACATTCTTCAATCACTGGTAAAAGCGATTCTTCTAAAATTGCCAAATATTTGTTTGTATCCACATTTCCATCAATAAAATGAAGTTTTCCTGCTCCTTTTGATGACATACTGCCCCAGACCATAATGGATGCTGGAAATTTCACTTTTCTCTTCAGACAGTCAACATGCAATGCTTCATTTTTTTGCGAATAACTCTACTGCGACTGTCACTAACACAAACTTCGAATCGGGCCACATCACTCCATTGTATTGCACACCATTGTCCATTGTCTATATTCTTTAGCCCATCTAAGCTGATTTTTCTTTTGCAGTGGAGTTAATGGTGGCTTTTCTTTGGCCTATAAACAAGTTGTGCAACTTTAGGGTCTTTACTTCACTTGTTTTTGAAAGAAAACTTACCTTGCAAGTGCTAAATCCCAGTTTGTGGGCTTCTTTATGAGTTGTGGACCTCGAAATTCTCCTTTCAACAGCGTCACTCCACAGAACACTTTTGTAAATATTTGGCACGCCTGTTTTTCACGATTATTCTTCTTAAAGCTCTTCGGTCGGCATTTGTGATATTACTTTTTTTCACATATCGTGGCTTAATATTAACTGAACCAGTGACGTTATATCTTCTAACAATATTTCTGACACTATACCGCGATAAGTCTAACAAGTTGTAATTTCTGAGTTTGATTTCCCAGAATTAAAAAAATTAATTATCAATTTTCCCACTAACAACCTTTCCTCTACCCCTTTTGAAAACCTTAACTACCCAAAACTATTTTAAACGTATTCTGACAGCTGTGATTAATAAAAACAATTGTCATGGCTTTTATTTTTCACAGCCACCTATGCGTTATAGACTTATTTTGCATTGAAATGAAAATAGGTTGATATGCTGTATTTGCAACATTTGTTATTTTTATGCTGTAAATTTGATTAGGGAGTGATAAAGTTGGTGTTTTCTACTATATATTATCAAAATATGCATTGTTAATATTTTAAACCTATAACACCCTGATACATTTTTATTATTTGTGTTTGATAAGACAAAAACTACGATTTCAATAGTTGGGCCAACTGAAGTGTGAAGGGGCTCATAGACATGTCAATGCTGATTGACTATTAAATGGTCGACAATTTCTAACGACGAATTCATACATTTTGTATGCTTCAGCAATTTTGATATCAATATGATTAATGAAACTGATTTGCAAATCGAATACTACTCCTAGATCTTTAGCAGTGAAATTACCATCAACACTTTGCAACATTCGGTGGCAGTCTATTATTAGCACACCATAAATAAACTATGACCTATCACAATCTTCTATAGATGGATAGAATTTAAGATCGTCAGCATATAACAATTTTCGGGTTTCAATTACATTATTCAAATCATATTAAATAGTAGCGGGCCTAAGTTTGATCCTTGCGGAACACCTGAGCTTACACTATATGTGTTGTACCCATTATAACACATCGCGATCTATTGCATCAGTAAGATTTACAAAATTCTACCAAATTCGTCAAAAAGACTGGTCCAATTAGATACATATGAATGATTCCCATCCACACGTTTGCCGAAAATCTTCTTTAATGATGTAAGTTGTGATAATTTGTTGTCCCTTCTCTGTCAAACTTAGACTCGTCGGTCCACAATATTTTAGTTAAATAGTCGTTTTCTTCTTGATCCCGATGAAGCATGTATCGACAAAAATCAATTCTTCTTGCGGGATCTCCTTCTTCTAATACTTGAACCGGTGTGTAATGGAAAGGGTAAAGTCTTGCCGAATGCAAAACGAACCAAACTTTCCACTGGGTTAAATCAAGCTGCTTTGCTACTCGTGTAGACGTCGTCGGGTCTCTGCCGTAGCATTCCAGTATTGCCTCTCGATCTTCGTCGTCAAACAACCGAGGTCTACCAGCATCATGACGTCTCTCATGAACCTGTCCACTTTCCTTGACGCGTTGGTACACAGAAGCAAATACTCGATGACTCGGTATTCGCCGATTCGGAAAACGGTTTTCGTATTCTCGCCTGGATTCAACGGAATTTCCATCACTTAAACCATAGCAAAACAGAATATCAGCGTATTCTTCGTTACGGTAACTCGCCATTATTAAAACTGATCAAAAAAGTAAAAGTACGTCCTACCGCGTTAAAGGTTGATATTCTACTAACTAACCTAAGCGTTAGTTCCCTTTCCTTGATCCGTCAGCTGTGTCAATTCATAACACACGCAGAGCTTGCTTCCGAGGAGCGACGACAAATTCCGAATACTTAAACCCGAATAACGGCACAGGGCACAAAAAATAACAAAAAGGGTCGAACCATGAAAGGCTCGGTTTACCTGCTCAGTACAATGAAATGCGCTTAGCGGTCCTTTCTAGCAAAGTAATATTGTTTTGTTAAATGGTTTACTTACTGATGATAAGTTATTATACCATTTTAGAAACCTAATGAAACGAGGAAGTGTTTGCAGTTATTTGTACATTTTCTTTATTATGATTTTTTTGAAAAAAAATACTTCTTAATGTGAAAGTTGAAAATAAAAATTTTCATTTAACATTTAAATGAAAATAAATACGTTTTCAGTAGTGTTTTCGTATGTTTTTTAATTTATGAGAATTATTTATTTAAATGATAACCTGAAACCACCAAAAAAAGAATGTTTAATCACCAACTTTTTTTTTATCTGAACTATTTTACTCTGTAATCTGGGTATGTTTTTTTTAAAAAAAATTAAATTTTCTATAACTTTTTAAACTTTGAATATAGGGTATGGTATTATATACTAATTTTGATAGCAAAGGAGCTGCACTATCACCTCTTAAAATGTTTTACACCTATTTACCTGTCACCCTGTATATATTGATAGTAAACTAAAGTTTAAGCATCACTATTACCATTATTTCAAAAATTGTCAAAGAAGCAAATTACTTTTAAAGGGCTTCTCATAGTCTTGGTACCTATTCCAAGAAAATAGTTCATAATACAATTATTCTACCGCATTTACTATATTGTTCAACTATCTTGTTCACTGCCGATGGAGCTGTATTCTCAAAATTAGAAGTCTTGCAAAATAAAGCTAGGAGAACAATATTGACTAAAAATAAGTACACCAAAATAAAATCTACGCTAAAAGAATTGCAGTGGTTGAATATAAAAAATTTCATATCATATTTGGTTCTTATTTTTATATTTAATATCATCTTTTGCCACAACATTTAGAACACTACGTAGAATTGAGTAATCATTACCACAATTATTATACAAGAGGAAATATAGATTTTCATTTACAAAATTGCAACAGTAATCTAATAAACTAAATAATGATTTGTAGTCTACTTGTAATTTGAAGATATTTAAAAGAAAATTAAAGCAATATTTCATGGACAATGAACATTCTTAGATATGCAAATTTTCTTTTTTTCTGAATGTCTGTATGTCATGTAATTGTTTAGTTTTTTTAGAAGAATTTAATTGTAGCAATCATGCTAAATAAATCTTAAACAAACACACAAACAAACGTTAATCGGTTGATTATATCAGCATAAGAAGGATCATCTCTATAGTTAGTAGTACCCACCTGTGACGTGACCCTGGTAGCACTTGAAACAGCAGCTCCTAGAATGGATGCTCCCTGTTCCTTAGCTTGACCTGTGAGCGACTGCACCCTTTGCAACAAACTTTCCCTGCTCTTCGCCGGCGACGAGGGAGCCGAGGTCGTCTTTGAGCTTTGCCGAAGGTTAAGAGAAAGGTCTCCAGCGCTGGCACTACCTCCAGTTCCGTGGGGTGGAGGAGGAGGCGGGGCCTGAAACGAAAAGGGCAATTACGCTATGAACCTAAGAGGGTTCACAAAACAAAATGAAACTGCGCCTCCACTTCCGGTACCGTGTTCTAGAACATAAAATAACGTTCTGTGAATTTTTCAGATTTTATAATCACTATTTGGGAAGCATCACAAAAAACAGCCTTTGCGCGTGTACTTCCGGCTTCAGGCACCGATTTTTTTTTTTTAGTTTTCTCAACAATTTTTAGGGGTTGCTGAATTCGAATCCGCATTTTTGCTTTCTCTTATGAAACCAACAATATTAAGCTACAATAGGAAAATGCCCAAGCATGGATAAAAAAATGTCTAATACATGGATTTTGTTTGCTTTTTGATTACTTTCAATCAGAAATAATGAGGACTCGTCCACTTGATAATGTAAAAACTACGAAAAACTGGTTTTTTAGTGTCGAAGTTCGTCGCATGTGGCGTGATACTGTTTTATTCAGAATTATACATTTAGATTTCACACTCCGTACTTCTCGCGAAACAGAGGGTTGTCATCAACAGATTCGGACTTGATAAAAGGAGAAAGCATGCGATTTATTTTGATCCACTATACTCCAGACGGTGGTCAGGATGCTAGTTCATACTATAATTCGACCAAGCTTTTATACAGCTCTAGTAATCAACACCGGCGCGGCGTTGCGATGTTCTTCAATACCCCAGTATTGCTCGAAGTTTAACCCATTAAACTTCGAGCATGGAATTCTAGGTTGAATTCCACTAGTGGGATTGGATTGTACAACCATGTGATGCGAAATGGGTACCTTGTACATAGCACTGAAGAGCCGACATACCATCCATTCAACCATCTTCAGGCACCAGATGCCATCGACTTCGCGATATCTAAAAACTGTAGATACAGTATCTCTTCTCGAATCTTGTATGATATCTCTAGTGACCATCTACCTGTTGTCTTGGATGTGGGCAATGAGCAAACTTCTGAGGAGGCAGCTCCTCCAAGGAAACGCATTGATTGGGAGCTATACAACTTTCTCCTTAGAGAGTTTCCCAATATCCCGATTATAGATGATGAGTCTAGAATAGATGCCGCTCAAGCGGAGTGGACAAGTTTCATTAAAGCAGCTCTACAGCGTGCAGCTGTACTTCCTATACAACGTCACGGCAGACCTTTTTTGCCTGCAGACATTCGTCAGAAAATCTCTGACAAAAGAGCCGCTATTAAGCAGGCAAAAAGGTCTTGTCATCCTGATGACATTCGTGGGGCTACAAATCTTGTCCATGAAGTGAGAAACGCACTGCACGAACTCCGCAACGAGCAATGGAGCGACTTTCTGGCGGGAATGCTTGATTCAGGTATTCGTCTCTGCAGGGTCGCAAAGTCACTCAGAAACGGAAAGTGAGAACAACTCCCGCACATCCATGGAAAACAGTTCTCTCCCAACTATGATCTTGATAATGACCTTGACGAGGAACAGCACATCGTACAATCGGTCAGGAGATATTTCAGGGCCAACGGCGATAGCGGAGGCACTGAATCCTCTTCAGATGACTCTTCAGAAGATTCGTCGGAGGCTCCACATAGCAAATTAGCGGAACCCTCCGAGTTTCCACATTGCTCACTAGCGGAGCTCATAAGTCATATCAAAGACCTCAAGGTGCGTAAAGAACCTGGGGACGATCAAATCACCAACAAGGCGTTGAAGCTGCTCTCGCCGAAAGCCCTGACATATTTGGTGACAATAATCAATGCGACGCTCAGAATCCAGTACTTCCCTGCTGGGTGGAAGACTGCTGAGGTCGTCATGATTCTAAAGAAGGTGGGCTCGATATTTTCTCAGGATTACCATCCCATAAGTCTGCTGTCAGCTCCTTCTAAGCTCGCCGAAAAGCTGATTTATCGTCACTTTGAGAATTTTTCGTCAAATCGCCATGTGATTCCTGTCCTTCAATTCGGTGCTCTGTCCGAGCATAGCACCGAGCTACAGGCAGTCAGACTGGTGGAACATGTAACCAGAGGGTTCATCCTCAGCATGAGTACTGACATCTTGCTTTTGGATGTCTCTGAAGCCTTTGACAAGGTGTGGCACGCGGGACTCCTTTATAAAATAATCCAAAAGGGTTTTCCTTTTTGGCTTCTAAAATTACTGAAATCCTTTCTTGAAGGAAGGAAGTTTCGGATTAAAATTAACAATGTTTTGTTAACCACACGGCCAGCACGGGCCGGTGTTCCTCAGGGTTCGGTCCTAGGACCAATCCTTTATTCGCTTTTTATCCATGATGCCCCTTGCCACCGCAACTGTGAAGTCTACCTCTATGCTGACGACACCGAACTTGTCGCCCAGTCGGGTACTGGTGATCTGGTTCACGATTCGTTTCAGAGTGCGGTGGAAGAAGTACTAGAGTGAACGGAACGGTGGCTGATTAAAATTAATCATTCGAAAACGCAGGCTATTTATTGTACCAAAAAACTTCGCGGCCCCCCAGCAGAGGTCTCTGTAGACGGCAATCGTGTACCTCGGTGTCACCCTTGATAAAAGCATGACCTGGCAGAAACATACAGCAGCCTTGAAAGCAAAATTCTAAATTGCGTTTCGGCAACTATAACCTTTGTTATGCAGATCCTCCTAATTGAGAGGCGTTTCAGTTTATTGTTGCATAACTTTAAGATTCGATAGAACTTTTAAAATTAATGCATAAAGTCTATATAAACATGGGTCGAAAAATGCGTGGCTTCCGAAATACAGGGTGTTTAAATTTACTTTCTAAAATAGTTTTTTTTAAATATTTCGAACAATATTTGATGTATAGCAGTGAAAATTGGCATACAAAGGCTTTTTGGTACGACAAAACGAATAGTTTTACTCCAGCCGCTAGAGGGCGCTCTCTACTGTACCTGTAGTGTATTAAAATGACCGAAAACTGAAAGCAGAATAAGCTTAAACGCCAATAAGTTGACAGTTAGTTTTGTTGTCTGTTGAAATCTGAAACGTTTTTTTTGCAATTGTGAATGCATGAAATGTTTCTTTTACCTTTTTTTTTGGTAAGTTTTACAAAAATGCCATTTTTATTCTCCAATCAAGAGTTAGCGGATATTCATTTTGTGTATGGCTTTGTAAATGGAAACGCTGCAGAAGCAGCCAGAGAATACGCACGAAGATTCCCAAACAGACGATATCCAACTCGCGCTCAGTATTTGTAAGAGTGCATCGCCAAATAATTGAAAATGGTTTTGGAAATCTCCAAGGGGATCAAAACATAAATGTTCGTCAGCGCAGATTTACCCGTATGATTCTGCGTGAGTTTGATAGAGATCCGACCACAAGTGTTAGGAGAGTTTCTGGTGCCTTGTTAATTTCAGCAAGCCATGTTCACCGTGTTCTTAGAAATGACCATAGACGTCCTTACCATTTGCAACCTGTGCAAGGACTAGAGCCAGGGGACGGAGAACGAAGAATCACATTTTGTCAGTGGATTCTTGATAGAACTGATAATAATAGGGAGTTTTTAAGTAACGTTTTATGGACCGATGAGTCATGCTTCACTAGACGTGGAGTGGTAAATTTTCATAATCAACATATTTGGTCGCATGAAAATCCGCATGCAGTTCGGGAAAGAAATTTTCAGCATGAATGTAGTGTGAACGTGTGGATTGGTATCTACCGTAATCGACTATTTGGACCCTACCTTTTGCCTGCAATGTTAAATGCTGCGACCTTCTTGGAATTTTTAAAGGCTGAACATGCAAATATGTGGGATGGTAAGAAGATTGGCCTGGTTCCAGCTTGATGGTTGTCCAGCTCATTATTCGAGAATAGTTAGAAACTGGCTGGACGAAAATTATCCAGAAAGATGGATCGGCCGTGGAGGACCAGTCGCCTGGCCTCCACGATTCCCTGACCTAAATCCATTAGATTTCTTTGCGTGGGGATTTCTAAAAGAAAAAGTGTACCAGACTCCCGTAACCACAGGAGATATGCTAATAGACAGAATCAGGAATGCATGCGATGAAATAAGGCATTATTTGAACAATGCTATACCACGTTCGATCATTCGTAGATGTGAATTGTGTATTGAAAAATTGGGTTTACATTTCGAGCAACTACTTTAGATTTTGTATGATTGTCCTAACTATCCAATAGCATTTTAGTTGTAAATAATTAATTTAATTTGTTAAAAATAATATTGGAAGATTAAACAAATTAATATTCTGTTTTTTGTGTTTATTTGGAGTTAAGAATCATTGCTGTGTTTAAAAACACAATCTAAACGATAATCTTAATTACTTGTAATGCCCAAATTGAAAATGTAAAAAAATATTATTTTCCCATAAATAATAAAAAATGCATCGAACCTTAAAAATCTAAATATCTCAAAATGGTTAACTATAACGAAAACGCACAAGATAGCTTTTTTATGTTGAAAAGTGCGAAGAATCAGTTTTCTTATTCAAATAGCAAAAAATTTCGCTAAGAAAAATTTTTAGGTCATTTTAATACACTACAGGTAGAGTAGAGAGCGCCCTCTAGCGGCTACAGTAAAACTATGCCCATGGTTCGTTTTTTTTCGTACCAAAAAACCCTTGTATAACAATTGTCACTGTTATACATCAAATATTGTTCGAAATATTTAAAAAAAAACTATTTTAGAAAGTAAATTTTAACACCCTGTATTTCGGAAGCTACGCATTTTTCGACCCACGTTTATATAGACTTTATGCATTAATTTTAAAAGTTCTATCGAATCTTAAAGTTATGCAACAATAAACTGAAACACCCTGTATAAAATGATTATTAGACCAGCCATTACTTATGCATGTGCGGCTTGGTGTTTTTTGGCCAAGACACATATGCAAAGTCGACCTCGAAAGACCATTCGGACAAGCTGCTACTCGATACCCTTTGTTATTTAAAATTTTTATGGGGATGACCCTGGGGGGCAGAGGGTGAAAGGAGGTGAAGTAGTTTTTGATTTAAAAGTTATCCCTCTTGACAAACCTTTTGACGTGTCTGGGCGTT